CAGAACTGGCGGTCAGTTTCAGCAGCGGCTGAATCTGGACGCCAGTTCCGACTTGCATACAGATTCAACTTAAGAACAAACCTACAGTCCCTATCTTGTACGTAACCTGAGGACTGCCTGTATAGCGTGGATCCTAAACATTCCCCAGAGAAATCATATATGCCTTAATGAATGCCTTTTATTCTCCTTTCCAGTGTCAGCAGAACTGGCGGTCAGTTTCAGCAGCGGCTGAATCTGGACGCCAGTTCCGACTTGCATACAGATTCAACTTAAGAACAAACCTACAGTCCCTATCTTGTACGTAACCTGAGGACTGCCTGTATAGCGTGGATCCTAAACATTCCCCAGAGAAATCATATATGCCTTAATGAATGCCTTTTATTCTCCTTTCCAGTGTCAGTAAATATTGTATTAGTATTTGCAAGGAGAGCATGATTATTTCTAGTTGACTCATAGATTTGTTTAGCGTCTTAAGGTAGAGTTTGTATGGCTAATGTGCTTTTTGTGTGTTTACTAGCTAAAGTTGTTAGGATAATGATAAATGTACTGCAAGAGTAGTGTTAATTTTTTTAATTTGATTTCATGTGAAATATAAGCATTGCTCCTTGTTAACTATTTTCTGTTTTAATTTATTGTCTATATATATATGTTTTTTGTTTGTATTGGTGGTGCACATCCACACACTACTTCAATATTGGTGTTGCACATGAGAAATTTCAACCTGCCCAAAAGAAAATTCAGCCCATCCAAGGGTAGAAAATATAAGATGGAACACTGATTAGCAGGCTAGAAATTATATATTTTAAACAAAACTGTTCCTGTGGGACAATGGAGTGATGTCATCCACGTCACTCTGAGTCCCACCTGCCTCTTCCCTCTCTCCCTCCTCCCCCCTGTCCCAGCTCGAGCCTGACCTTGCTGCTTCCCCTCACCACTTGGAAAAAATTGCTATTTTAAACTAAGCCCCTACTCTCCTTCTGCCATCCCCACCCCCACAGCACTTTGAGTGCCAAGAAACATGGCACAATAGCCCGCAGACCCCACATCACAGCCCAAGGCCAGGGGAAGGAGCGGAGAGGACAGTGCTCAGGAGAGCAGTCCAGGGGCCAGTGCTAGGAGCGGGGCTTCCAGCCAGACTTATGTGCCAGCAATGGGCTCTTGGGGAACTAGAGTACGGCGCCCAGTCACCCAGAGTCTGGCTGCCCCAGAGGATACTCACCCCCTCCTCAGTGGCTGTACTTACTGCAGTTGCCAGAGCAGTCCTCAGCTTTTCAGGGAAGCCACCACACTGACCTGTCTGCTCCTTCCCTTCCGCTGCCAGCAGGTAAGCGGGGGGGGGCGGGGCTGGGAGGGGGGCTCTGTGGGCAGAGCTAGGGCAGTGAGCAGTGCAGGTGGGACTGCAGGAGGCAGAGGTTGGGACAGTGCCCCCCCACGCTGCTCCTTTCCCCACCTCAGCAGGTTGCAGTGCCCTGGAGCACTGCATGCACATGACACTATCTGCACCTTGCTGCACCCCACATCGGGCTGGCAGGCATCTCTGTGCCTCTCCGGTTGCTGGGGTTACAACAGGCTTGGCATGCACTAGGGCCAGGAGCGGGGGAAGGGAGGTTATTGTTGGGGAGGGGAGAGAAAAGGGGGGGGGGAAGGAGAAGAAACCTTGGCTTTCAGGGATGGGGGAGTGGAAAGCCGTCTGGGCTGGCGTGGAAGGGGAAGGGAAAAGAGCCCCAGCCTGGTGCAGCAGGGGGAGGAGGAGTCCTGGGCTAGTGTGGCAGGAGAGGGAGAAGGGACTCAGGCTCCCAGGGCAGGAGAAGAAGGGGCCTCCGCTGGCCAGAGGGGGGGGGGGAAGGAGAAGAAACCTTGGCTTTCAGGGATGGGGGAGTGGAAAGCCGTCTGGGCTGGCGTGGAAGGGGAAGGGAAAAGAGCCCCAGCCTGGTGCAGCAGGGGGAGGAGGAGTCCTGGGCTAGTGTGGCAGGAGAGGGAGAAGGGACTCAGGCTCCCAGGGCAGGAGAAGAAGGGGCCTCCGCTGGCCAGAGGGTTGGAGGGAGAAGGGGACCCAAGCTGGCATGGCAGCAGAGGGGGTGGGGTAGAGAAGGGACTCAAGCTGGTGGGGGAGGGAGAAGGGACCCAGGTTGATGTGGCCACAGCCTGGACCTCACCTGTGACTGATGGGGAGAGCCAGGGTTGCCTACCCCCCGCAAAAGGGGGATTGGCATGTGCAGCGAGCAGGGGCCACAGCCCCCTTAGTATGTTCTGATAA